TCTGAGATTCTAGAGACTCTTCTTCATGGCATGCAAACTGCACCAAAAAGGGGAAGGCAAAGAAATTTTGCAATTCACTGATGCAGATTCCAGTTTAACACCTTCCTATCTGCTATCATCTGCAGTTGCTCCCTCCTGGATCACGTCCTTCCTTATTAGGCACAGTCACTTTACATTTCACTTTATATTCCCATAGCAACTGCAAGAACTCACATGGAAGTGACTTCAGCAAGTGCTTGCAGCCTGCTCTTAAGGAAGTGCTCTTCTATAAGTCCACCTTATTTACCTCCTCTGGTACTTCTGTTTTCCAAATGCATGTCCAGATGAAAGTTTATATTTTAAAGTACATGTTGGGCTGCTGCTACCTGAACTTCTCCTGAATTATTTTTACCATGGGACTTAAGCTGGTATTTTCTGGTACTATTTGGTACAAGAAGAAAGAGAAATTTCTCCTTTCTTTTGATGCCAAAAAAGTGTTAGATGAATTTAAAAAATCTAAGCGAACCCTTCCGTAGCAACATACCAACTTGGAAGTATGTAATGCTTTTTTCTCCAGACCTGTAAACAGCTTCTAGTACAGAGGATGAAATTGTTAAAAGAAAAAAAAAAAAAAAAGAAAAAAAGAAAAATATAAAAGAAGAATATTTCTGAATAAACAGATAAAAAGGATCTTCAGCTTCCACTGACTGTAATTGCACATTTGTGGTCAGCTGCCTATAATTACATGGTATCTGGTCTAGAGGATGATCATGTGAAAATTGACATTCATACCATTTGCCCTTCTAACTACTTTGGTCAGACATTAACAGGGGCTGAAATCAGTTATTACTTCTCTATTAAATTTATCTTTGCCTCAGGACATATTTACTAATAAACCAAATGACCTTTCTGTTAGAATGCAGTTTGTGGCAAGATATTATGACAGCTACATTTATTTATTTTTATTTCTTCAGAAGAAGAAATTCCAACTGTTCACTTTGAGAGGACTCTCTAAACACAATTTTTCAGCCAGAATGTAAACATAAAGCATAGACAAAATCAAAATCAATCCACTCAATGGCATTTGAAGGGAAAATACAAAGCCACTGTGCACACTGGATTCAATTTTGGGTGTGGAGAAGTAAAAGACATGATTATTCATGGCTGGGAGAGTTTGGATGAATCATATTTAAAACCTAATGCACTTAGGCAATTATATGTTGCATAGTCAAAATTGACCCTACATGGGATTTTTCAGAACTGCAGTTTTAGAATTAGTAGGGCACTCACATCACATTTAATAAACATAGTAAATCAAAACCACCGTAGTTTGTGTAAAATATTTGCCCTATTACATGAAAGAATATATGGCTTTTTAGATGATGGACTGTATAAATCACTGATGTTTTATCTGTTTTAATTTGAAGTAAATAATACTGAATAATTAAATTCCCTATAGCATATGGTCCTGTGATAACTAAATATAGGGAAATGTATGTACTATTTCTGGCATTTTTTCACAGCTCCAGACACTATAAAGGGAGTTAGCATAAAGTGGAGCTTTCTGGGTTACAGAGCAATGAGTACAGCATTTGGTGGGGCTTTTCTGTGTGCCTGCAGGTCATAGATAACTCAGTAATGTGTCATGTTCTATTTCAGAATGAATAAGTATTTTAATTTTTCCCAGTAGGAAAGGGTCTCCCAGGAAGAGATTTTCAATTCATAAACAAACAATTTATATTAAATACCACAATTCTGTTAAGAACACGCCAACTAAAAAGTAATTCATTTGTTTTGAATTAAGTACAAAACCTTATCACTACCTCTGGGCATCTTTAAAATTATTTAAAATTACAATACATAATTTATAACCTGCCAGCACAGCACATGGTAGAACTGATACAATTCTTCAGATGGCTATTTAAATCTTTACTAAATACTGAACTCCAACATCTTAAACCCATTTTACCTGAATCTTGAGTTGCTGCATAACTTTGAAATTTTGTAGTATTTGTAAAGATAAGTAGGGGACTTTTTGTCAGCACTTTTGGAAAACAGGAGACTTACTCATCTGCACCTAATTTTTTATTTTCCATGCGGTTTTTTTGGAACATTTTTTCATCTATTTGTCCAACTGTAGCATTGCAAACTGTATCACTACAATGCAAGAAAATTTCAGGTTGAAAGAAATAGTTCCTGTTCCAGAGCATATGTAAAGCAGGGTTTTTAATTTGACCAGTGGGAATATCAACTTTGCAAACTATCAAAGTGTATGTAAAAGAATCAAACTCATCTAATGACAGATCGATTTAAAATACCGCCGGAACCAGTGGAGAGTGATGGAATGAAGACATTCCTTATGTTTTAGAGATGCACAGCAGCAGGGCAGCTCAATGCTGTTGGCTGGCAGTGACAATGGTTTCTGGTGTCCCCGTGTGCAGGGAGTTCATCAGGCACCTGCGGCCGTACAGAGCCTTTTACGGCGGCCTGGCCGATCAGCTGTGCGCCAACGAGCTGGCAGCCGCCGACGGGCTCCCCTGCTGGAATGGAGAAGATCTCGTAGGAAGGTAGCTTTCCGTCTCACTTCTGTCTGTTTTCTGTCTATTGCAAGTCAAGTTTTGCTAAAACAGCTTCTATTCCAGTCAGGTGTGGTGTTTCCCTGTGTCTGTGTCAAAATTAGTTTGAAAATTAAATAAGCGTGGGTTCCCTTCTCTCAGGCTTCGCCTGTACATGGTAAATAAAATCTCCCAGCATCTCTGTTTAGGAAAAAGAAAAAAAAGAATTCCGATGTTCTTCAGACATTTTCCCCTCAAATTTGCAGCACCTAAACACTGGAAAAGAAGCTGGATTGGCATTTACAAAATACGGTTGTACAAAAAGAGTATGGATTTTTGTTTGAGCTTGGTCTTTATAAAATGCTCCTTTTAATGCAGCGTGTGGTCAGAGACTCAAACTTAAAACCTTCTCTGGCTCTGAAGTATGAAGTAATCTCTTAATATATATTGTTCCCCATGAGAGAACTAAAAGTTAAATGTGAAGATAAAACATTTTAAAAGTGAAACGTATTTTTCATATATGCAGCAGCTTGGGAGACATCATTCAGCAGCAGTGGCAAAGAAGAGATAATAAACTGCTACAGTTCTGGATGTGTGTCTCTGGGATCAGTATATTACACAGCTTATAAAACACTAGCATTTTTGGATGGCCGAAGGATTTTCAGAAAGCTGATCTCTGTGTTTTTGTTTATTGCTTTGATCACCAAAACAAGTATTTCTCTGAGCAGGAAATGCTTCCCTTCCTGATGGCAGAGACCAAAATACTGGAAAGTTTGTTGCAGTTACTTGTAATAAAAATGATTATGTTAATATTGTGTGGATTAGTAGGTAGTATCAAAAGTCATATCAAAGAAGGCTGTGAGGAGAGTTAGTAAAGCATGAGCGAGCAAATAGAGAGAGCAGCAGGAAATATACACCTTTAGGTATCTCTAAAAAGTTAGGTGGGAGTTGTCATTTATTAATTGATACATGAGGAACCTTAGTGGCCATCCTTTTATCAAACAGCTACCGTCCCACTTTCCTTTACCTTCTCGGGCAGTCCTGTGCTTTGGCATCACCAAAGTCCAGTGAGTGGCTGACTCTCTTGACAGTCTCACTGGCAGCCTTTGTCCAGGGACTTCAACAATCTTCTGAAGAGGCTGCGTTCCTTCTTTAGGTAACTGTATTTGAGATTTAATCCCTACTTTACCTCCTTGCTTTTGTTTTTCTGACCATTCCCTGGTTCACTTAAAGTATTCCTATCAAATATTTCAGTAACAATATATAAGAATGATCTTGTAATTACAAGATTTCCTAAGAACAAAGTTCTTCTATCATTACTTGTGGCTGCTTATATACCTACTAATAATACATTAGATATTTTCAAACCCTTTTTATTTTATCATATGATACTATTATACTGTATCTATTATTATGTTATATGTTTATATGTAATTTAACAGTTATGCTAATATATATATATATATATGCTACATATATGCTTATATATATATGCTTTTATATATATATGTGCATACAATGTTTTTAATATTGGATCCACCCAAAAGATATAATGGATGACAAAAGCACTGTATCTTAAAACTAAGGAGTAACACTTGGTTGTTATTATTTTAACATAAAAATTTCCTTAACTAAAATATTTTGTCTTAGTATATATATTAATGCATATATCTTTATATTTTTGGTCAGTGCATGTCAGTGTCAGTTTCCTGAAAGAGCTGAGATGTAGATAGTAGAAGTACAGAATGATTGTTAAAACCAGAAGAGCAGGAAACCCTGAGTTGCTCTGGATTATCAAATGGAGCTGAGGACCTGCAGATTAGTTCCTACTCAAGACCTCTGATTGTACACTGAATACATTGTGGTGCACAATCTCCTGTTTCAGTATCTTCATGAAGGCACTCAGATCTGTCCTAGACTCAGATCTTCCACTGCTTCATTTTGCCTTCTTATTCAGTCCAAATGCCGTTTGTTCAATTGTATTTGTTTATGTTTTTTCTTTTGTAACTGAAGGGGGGAAAGCATAGCAAGCTTTTTTTTTTTAGGTTGGGATGCATAGCAAGCATTTAAAATATATTCTGCTTACACATTAGCAAGAGTTTTCTACTGACAAGGACAAAAATAAGTAGCTTTGTTGTCCAGCATCTACATAAAGAAGTATTTTTAAGCACAGGCAAGGTAGGCACTGAGAAATGATGCAACAAAAGCTGATTTTTCTTAGTGATGTGGAGATAAATTGAATAACTTCTTAAAATCTCCTCTAGCCCTATGATTCTGAAACCAGGATTATCTAAATCCTGTGTTGCTCAACTTCTATTGTCCTGATGCCAGGATACTGTGACATTTTAGAAGTGATAATGACTGAGCAGGCATCATTGTTTTTCTCTCTAAATACTGAAGAACCTGTACACTCACTCTCACTCTCTTTACTCTTTTTTTTCTCTTCTCATCCTGCCTTCCCACTAATAGAATAATAAATAACAATACTGATGAACTCATCAGGGCATCTCACCAGTGTTTCTGGCACTGATGGGGAAAAGTCTACATTGTTCACATTAGTTAAAAACAAATAGATTTTATCTGTTTTGAGATTCTTCATTCTTTTCCATCTGTTTTTGCCTTCTGTTTCAAAAACATGTGCCATAGCTAGCTGCTGATGACTGAAATTTGGACTTGACACAAGAAAACAATATAATGAGCTATGAATTGCTGGTCTGTGAGGACCTGAGGAGATTGCTTAGCCTGCTTGCTGTATCTGTGTTTCAAGCTCCAAGTAGCAAAAAGCCCTGAAGACGGATGAATGAGGGAAAAAAAATCTTTGCAGTTTTTCATTTTCCTTTTTTGTGCATCTTTCTAAAGGAAGCATTTCAAAGGTTTTAGCACTGACAATATGGGGTATCAGTTAAATCTTGTAACCTTTGCCTTCTCTAATGCTATCCAAGAGATTATCAAGCCTGGATGGGAAAAGGTCAGAAAATGAAAAACAGTATTATTGAAATGAAAGCTTACTTAACAGTTTACATTTCATACACTTCAGCTGTCCCATTTTTTGTTTAAGCTTTCTTTTTTTTCTTTTTTTTTTTTTTTTTTTTTAATCACAATGCCATGGAAGTATGGCCCTTGATTCTGCAATTCTAGAAATTGTTCTGTGTCTAACATTTCACGCAGTACAGGCTCGTGCTTTCATGAAGACCTCAGACCAGAATTCCCACATTCCTGAACTCATGCCTGGCAGCATGAGAAGTGGCCAGGACTTGCAGGAGCAAGACCACTCTCATGAGATCTGTGTCACTGCAGCGTGATATGAGGCACAAGGCATCTCAGAGGGCTCTTCAGCCCCTCCCGTCTTACCCAATTGTGTGACTGCAGTGGTCTAGCATGAAATTGAAATTCAAACTTCACTTCCAAAGCCACAGCCAAGTGTTTTGATGATGTACCTGGAATTTAGTGTTATAAGATTCATTAAGCTCAATGGAAAAAGAGGAATTGAAAGTAATAAGTTATGCACTACCAAAGCATGAGTTTGGATTTTCAGTGGCATCTTAGCATTAAACTAAAGTAACAGGAGCTATGTAAATAGACTGAGATTGTTCCACTTCACAAACATAAAGAGGTTTAACTGACATTTATACAGCTTTGGTTGTCCAAAGAGTCTGGCTAGAATGTGAAGAGAGATAAATTAAAAATACACAGAGGAGAGCATAATATATACTGTACATCTCTGGACCAGCAATTTAACTGAAATAAAAATAGATGTGAATGAAAAAAAAAGTAATATTTTGTGTGTTGAAGGATTCAGGAGTAATGGAGATTATTAAAAACAGCTAATCAAGTTTTGAAGGAAGAGTTTCATATAAAGCGCATATCTGAAGTATCCAAATTAAGAGAAATTAAACAGCATGATTGATTTTAATTACTGAGCAAATCGTTAAAAAGTGATTATAATAAGCAGCTCTCATCAAATAAATGCTTAGCTTTAGCACAGCTCTTAGGCTGAGGAAATTTTCTCTCTTGGTTCTTGAATATTCTGAAACTACTACAATTCTGTTCCTGTTCTTACCCAACAAAAGAAGATAAATGATTATATAAGGGAAATTAATAAATTTATTTCAGTTTCCTTTTATTTGAGCTAATTATCACTTTTTAAAACAAGGAAATATGTAAACTTCCATCTAAGGCACCAGTTGACACCTGATGTGCCTGATCTCCTTAAAATATAGGAACAGCCTGTTAGGGCTCTTACTGCTTTGCCCAATAGGCAGCTGCCAACAAGGACCAGTGACAGATCATAGAGAAAAAACAACTGTAAGCTTGTACTTCCTCAAAACATGCAAATTTGCAAATGCCTGGCCCATAACTGTGAGCATTCAGTCTTCCCATGAACTCAAAAATCTTCACTATCTTTCCTCAGGAGAACCAGAAGTTCTCAAATGCCAATGCACTGGGTCAGTTTAAGAGGGGCTGATGATACATATTTCTGTGTCAACATAGAAAAGACATGAACTGGCATAAGATCTCTTTGTTTATAATAAATTTAGGGTTTGTTCCCTATTTTGCTGTGAGTTATAACAATAAAAGTAATTCCTGGTTTAATATTGGTAATATCTGTTCTTGGTATATGCTTAGATAAATCTCACGTCGCTTCAGGATGGAATGGATTTAACTCCATAAAATCAGCAAAGTATGTATTGCATTTGATAACCTCAAAATAAATGTTTTACTTTTCCTTTTGTTTGCTCGAGCAAATATATCATTTTCTGTAGTGTTTGCCTAGAGTCATTGGACTTGTTTGTCGTGCACAGCAGAGCCTCTAATAGAAGTGTTCTGACAGTGGGTGAATTAATTTCTATTAGGTTGGTAATAATTTACAAATTTTATTGACTTTTAAAGTTAAAAACATGATTAGCACCGTGCTAAATCAACTGTAGCATTTATAAAGTCAGAGAAGGCTATTCAAAGGTAGACATGAGAAAGAACAGTAACAAAGAATATTCCAAGTTTGAATTATTGCA